CTGCTATGAAGGTACTAGTTTTACATTATGTACCCAGATCCATTCTCTTTCAATCTTAGCCTATTTGGTAAAGGTGCAGTAAGATGATCCCCATCTTTTGGGCAAGTACCTAAAGATGTTCTTCCCTAGAGCCTTTAGAGGCTGTGTAGCTCTACTGAGAGCTTGATTTTAGATTTCTAGCCTCCAGAGCTATGAGAGTATAAACTTATTGTTTCAGACCACAGTTTGTGGTACTTAGTTATGGTAATCCTAGGAAAGTAATACAATGTGTAATCCAGCCAATCTGAAGTTCATCTTGATGATCTAGCCTTCTTTGGGAAAAACATTGACTAAAATCATCCAAAGCTTCACCTTATACTCAACTTTTTATTGTAGTAAAATATGCACAATTCCATTTTATTCAGCCTGAAAATGTAGAATTCAGTAGCATTAAGTATATTCAAAAGGTTGTTTGCACCCATTTTTATGGACTGTTTAAGTTGTGGGTATTAGTCAATCAGGAAAGAGACAAAAATGTACTAAGTCTTAGAGGCAGTATAATCCATTCTCAAATGGATTGGTAGTATCTAGGGCTGAGTATTTTCTGATCCCAGAAAACTCAGTATGATTTTGCCTGATTTATATTAAAACTGTGATTAATTACAAGAAAACTAATATTAACATATAAATACACTATTACTAGGAAAAACTCAAACTTGATTTCTATTGACTAAATACAAAAATTTCACCTTCATAATGAAACCCACTAGGAAAGTCAGATGTTTATCTTTTATGCTATCTTAGGTAGCTAAACTTTTAGTTTTTTATTATTTCATTATTTTTATTTTATGTGTATGGGTGTATTGCCTGCACATATGTAAGTGCTCAGAGAGGTCTGAAGAGGGCATCAGATTCCCCTGGAACTGGAGTTATGGATGGTTGTTAGTCACCATGTGAGTGCTGACACTTAAGCCTGGGTCCTCTACAAAAGCAGCCAGTGCTCTTAACTGTTGAGCCATCTCTCCAGTGCCAAACTCTTTTTAGTTTTAATTATTAAGTCTGTAAAATCAGAATAAATTCCTGGCCAATTCTAATTCCTTACAAACAAACTTAATGTTTTCGTTTCTCAAACTCGACTTTACCCTGGCCCTATGAGTTTCCTGAGACAAACTGTTAATATCTGAAAATTCTCCTTTCCTCCTAACCAGCCAGAAGTTTAACACTTTTAGAATGAATTTTGAGAAGCTTCTGCACTGCAACAGGAGTGAAAGTCTATAAACTATAATACAATAACTCTACTTATAATTCAAGACTCCCAATGTATGCTTGAAATCTCAGACTATACCAAACCATACAGATAGCCTTTTCCTAATTAGTTCTTACTATAATTCTTAGTAACCTCAGCATAGGATTTTTTTTTCTTATGAAATCAAGACCTTATATCTTTTCAGTTGATGGAAGAAGCAATTTACAGCTTCTCTTTGGCATATCTGAATTGCCGCCACCACTATTCTTGCACTTTGGAACCATTAGTAAGGGATTAAGTGCTCCCTGAACATAAACACTTGATACTGGGATAGTTGCTCTGATAACCAAGATGAATGTTAACTGACTGAGGGGTGGGCAGCTTATGTAGGTTGGAAAACAGGGTAACTCACCCTGGGCAGGACCAAATGGAATGACACATGATTTCATTACACTAAGAATGGTAGGCAATTTAAGACTTTTGAATGATTTACTTGAGGAAATTTTCTTTTTAAATTTCTTTATTCTTGAGAATTTCTTGGTCATATACACCCCTCAACCTCACAGAGATTAATCAGCCTGCTTCTGTTTCCTTTGTGCTAGGATTAAAGATGTGTGCCACCTTGCCTGTCTAATGTTTTTCCTGTGTGAATTCTATTTGTTAAAGCTTGGAGAATTTGGGAGAGAGGAATAAACTTGAGACAAAATTATTGGAAAACAAGCATCTATAATTGTCTAATTTTATTAATTTTCAATCATTTTAGTCCTAACATCTAGGAAAATATAAATCTCCATGTAATCTGAAGGCTTACTTCACATTCACCCTACCCAGATATATTTTAATGAATTACATACAGCAAGAGTACCTGCTTAGCATGTGTGAGGCCCTGAATTCAACTCAGAGTGCTAAAACAAAAAGACCATCACTACTTTTATAGATGCTGAAACTCCCTTGGTCCTGTTACTGATTTGTAAAACAAAGGAGCTAGTTTCTTTCCCATGAACAATTACAGAATATTCTAAGTTGGAGGAGTCTTATTTACTATGCTTCTTATTTAAAGGGCAGCTATTTTGTATACTCTTTCACTGATGAAGGAACCTTTTAGTGGACAGGTTTAGAACTTATCTCTAAAAGTTAAGAAATTTCTTTTAATCATATAGAATCTACATGCACCATAGACAACAAAGATAGGTTTGAAAGCTTACAATGCGATCAACTACTTTATCTCATTTTTAGTTTGAGATAAATTATTCATTTGGGCATACTTTCCTCATCTTTATCTCTCATTTGAAGCCAGTTAGGATTGATTCCTTTTGCCACCAGGATCTTTGGTGATAATTATGGGAGGTGAGTTCATAATCTGGCCTAAAAATTGAACGTACTGTCAGATATACTAACTATACATATCTTCAAAAAACCCATTATTTTACTCTATTCCTCCTCAATTCCCATTTCTTTTGTACTCTCCAGTATTTAAAATTAAAGACACAGTGTGAATCTTCAGTGAGTAGGATGAGTAATAATATCATGTTCTAACTGGACTACAAAACCCATAACCATCACATCAACTCTTGATATTTTGTTGTACAAATGTTATTAAACACTTTTTGATACTTTTGTGCCTTTATGTTTCAGACCAACTCGATATTTTGTTGTACAAATGTTGATTATTAAACACTTTTTGATACTTTTGTGCCTTTATGTTTTACTAAGGTTAGGAAAATGAGAAAAACGCACACACACACTTAAAAAAAGAGAGAAGTAGAAAGGGTCGGGAAAAGGTAATTAAGAAACGTACATAAAGTAGCTACAGGTGATTAACAGTTTATGGAGGACTTGGAAATAAATGACCATATTTTCACGGTAATTTTATTCCACAAATACTGAAATGAAACTCAAAGGCCATGGCAACCGATTCTGGTTCAAAGAGTGAGACTCATCCTTCATTTCCCGTTGATGGATGCACTTCAGCTCAAAGCACTGGTCGTGGCTAGGAAGCGAGGACCAGGACCACCGATCGGCGGAAGGGGGAAGCCCTGCACGCCAGGCGCAGACTCCCAGGCTTCACCGTGAGGTCTCCTAAGGGAGTCTCGCATCTCCAGCCAAGTGACAGAAAGCCTCTCTCCAGGAGAGCGGACGGAGGGTCAAGCGGCCGAGGCGCCACAGGATAACCCGCCGCTTCGCCCACGGGGGACTCAGTCCCAGTGGACACCGTTCCGCCACCCACGCAGCTTTCCGAGCCGCCTCTAGGCGCTCCCCGCGCCTTCAAAGGAGCGGCCGGCTGCGCCCACCTCACCACGCAAGCCTGGCTCCTCAGAGGCTCCGCGGCGGGCAGAGCTAGAGGCAGCGGGCACCCGACGAGGCTGCAGGCTCGGCAGGGGATTGCTTCTGTCTGGGGCCCGCCGAGGAGGCGTTCGTGCCTGGCGCGCACCCGCTCCGCGTTCGCCCAGCCAATCCCGCGCTACTCGCGCGCCCAGGAGCGTTCCCCAGTCCCACTCAGGTTGGGCCGGCTCCTTCCCGCTCCAGGTACTCCGCAGCCGAGCTCTCACTCCTCCCCGCACTCTCCACGAGTTGCTCGCCTCGGGGTGTAGCTCCGCCCCTGTCCCCGAGTCCGCCCCCGCAGCCTCCAGAGCGTGTGCTCCCTTCTCCCCTCAGTCTCTTGCCATCCAGGCGTCTCGGGTCTCCCACTCCGTGGAGCCAGGCGGTCTCTCCGGCCTTGCTCTGCCGCCTCCGCGCGCTCTCCCACCTCAAGCTCGCGTCTGCCCCGCCGGCCTCGGGGTCGCGCGGCCAGACTCCGCCCCCTCCGCGGACCCGCGCACTCCTGGCGCGGCCTCTCCCCCACGCAGGCCACTGGGCGCTCGGCCCCCTCCTTCCCGCTCGCCTCGCGCTCCCCGGGCGCCCTCGCTCTCGCGCTTTCCGAGGCAGGCAGGCGCGCTCCCGGCCGGCGCGCTCCGGGCTCCGGCTTCTCCCGGCTCCTGTCAGTGCGGTGACTGCGCTGGGAAACATGGCGACCGAGGGAATGATCCTCACCAACCACGACCATCAAATCCGCGTCGGAGTCCTCACAGGTAAGCGGGGGGAGGAGGTCCGGGGGGCGCCGCGGCCGCCGTCCCAGACTTGCCGGAGGTTTCTCGCCGGAGGTGGCTCTTCCCTGAGGCCTCGGGGAGAGGGCAGGCTGGGGAAGGGGGTCGGGGGGTGGATTTTACAACCGCGGAGTGCTACTGGGGATCGGGGTGTTCCCATGTGCTCCCCGGGGGGCTGGAGTCGGCCCCGGGTGGTGTCAGGCCCCGGCCTCCTCCAGCCCCAGTCCCGGGCCCCCGGGGAGCGAGGGGCCGGTGCGGCGGGCGCTGCGGGGCTCCGCGCTGCCGGTGCGGGCGGTGGGATCCCGGCTCCGCAGTCTGAAGCATGCCGCTCGCGTGCTGGCGCGGCGCCTTCTCCTCGGAAGCTCTTGCGATGGGGGGAATCCCATCTCCACCCCCTTCACTCCCCTCCCCCCACGCGGCCACCCCCACGTCGCTCCGGCCGAGCTGGCACCCCGCACCTGCCGGGCAGCCCTCGGCGTCGGCCAGGCGAAACTCTGCTCCGCCCCGCGCTGCCCCTCGCGGGCCGGGCGTCCCCTCCGCCGCCGATGGGATACTCGCCTCCCCGAGGAGCCTGGGCAGCGGCTCGCGCCCGGACCGCGGAAAGTCAGTCTCTCTCTCTCTCCTCTCTCTCTCATCTATCTATCTATCTATCTATCTATCTATCTATCTATCTATCTATCAT